TTGATTTCTAAGCTCACTTTTTTTGTTATTTCGTGTTACATATTGTTGCACAATTTAATTTTAAATTAATATGTAGGGGAAGAAACATCACAGAATTAAAGTTTATAGTAATTTTATATGTTTTTTTTATAATTTTATATATATAAAAATTTACATGTAACAAATCGTGTGACTGGTAAGATTTGCAAACTAACTCACAATAGCAGCTATGAACAAACTTGATAGAGTTTTTTTTATTTTATTTTAAGTTATATTTCTCATTTTAAATCAAACTAAATATTTTTTATTTAGTTATATTTTTGCATTTGTACAGTACAATGTTATTTTTTCAAAACTTAAATAATGTATTATATTATTAAATATTAATATTATTGTCATTAGTACAGATCACTTTCTTTACAATCTTAATATTACTGAATTTGTCTGAGGTAACTGAAAGAGCACCCATAGGCTTGCTTGAAAAAATTGAAAAACCCTCTTTCGAGTTTTTTTTTTGGATGATTGAGACCTTGTTCTTCAATCACTGTCTTATTTTCTATTAATATATTATGCTCATCAGACATTTTTGAAGAATTGAACATATCAAGTGAACTTCTAAAGTTACGGTCTGTAACGAGAGTACATAACTTAATTCCTCATCCGGCTTTTTATTCTTCAACCAATTTACCCACATATATAAGCCCCTTTATATAAACAACAGATAAAACAGCTGTCTAAAAGATATTTCCAAAAAAGTAAATTCAATATAACACATATCACATCTAAAGATAATTAAAAATTCAACAATAAAATTAACTTACCTTAAATTCTTTTTTAAGGTCCTATTATAATTATTTGATCATGTGGAAAACCTCCATGGGGAAAATTCTCGTGGAGAAAGCTTTGGTGGAGAGAACTTTGGTGGGTAATAGTGTCGTAAAAATGGGATCCTATAAACATATCGTTTGTTTCAGATTATTCAAGTTCTACTATACTCCACGCAATGTCTGGTTTATCTTGAACATTTTCTTTGTTGGTTTATGTTGTCCTGTTAAGTCTAGAACATTGATAGTGATTTCGGCATCACAGAATCTCTTATATCGAGGTAGAATCTTGAGAATGATATCTAATATTAATAAAATTATACGTATAATAGTGGATTATATATAAATAGAATGGAAGAAATAAAGGCAATGAAGGAACGAAAGTATGTTACTTACTTATTAATATGGACTTCACCACGGGAGAATTTGTGTGTGTATTAAAGGTAGATCAAAAATTAAAAACAACGAAAAAAAAAAAGGAATCAACAAATAAATATTTCTGTTTCGGTTAATAAAAATTTTGTGATGTCACGTGCTGTTTTTTAAAATGTATTTTTAAGCCGGCTATGGCAGCCGCGGCTAAGCTGGCTTAGCCGGCTGAGCCAGCCAATGTAATATGATCGGCTGGATTTAGTATATAGTAGGATTCCGATAAATTCCAAAAAGGAAAATAAAATACAAGCTAAATTTACCGAAAATTTCCGGAAGTATGGAGCCGATATTTTAGTCAGCTGGCTTAGCCAGCCGACTAAAACCTTACGGCTTAAATCACTAGTTGATGCGATTAAAAATACAAATGCGACAAACATATCATAATTTACATTTTCGGGATTTCTCGTCAAATCCTGCGATATTATAGAATTCTGTGATATTCTGCGATGACTAAAGGTGATTTCTGTGGTTAGCTGTTCGGCCCTGATATTACATCATAATTTTAGCAGATCTACGATCAAAACAAAGTAATGGCCGTGTAAACTTCGAATATTCTATTATACAACCATTATTCTTTGGATTATTTCAGATATCAATCAATTCATTTATTTTATACGTTGTGAATTTTCAGAAGTCATATTTTTGGGATTACTTAATCCCCAAAACTCTGCATTGAGATATGATTTAAAATTCAGGGAAAAAATTAAAGTTTTTCATAAATTTAAACCAAAAAAAATTTTTTTAAGAAATTTTTAGTGATAGGATTTTTTATTAATAGTTATTATTAATAATATATACAATTTAGTAATACAACTTGAATAATAATTGCATCTCGGCTTGCCCATTATTATGATCCAACACGTTGCAAAGTTCAAATTGCTTCGAAAAAATATACCAATGACTCTGTTGACATTTTAGATGTATTAAAATATCCGTAAAAATATAAGACTCGAGGGTGTTCTTACTTCTTGTTGAATTTACTTGCTTTAGCAATGATGTATGGATCGTTTCCACGGCCTATAAAAATCTTACGTGTATCACATTCGTTATCGTTTATGACGAATAGTATTAAGCCGCCATTTTCTTTGATCGAAAACTACATGTTGACCAGATGATTGCTGAATTAATATATGAAGGAAAAATCTTTCCCGGCGTTGACAACCTCCAAAATTGGTTGCTTTCAATATTCGTGTTTCTATTTTATATCTTCATATGAAACCAAGTATCTGGGCGAAACTGAACATCTTTGTGTTGTATGTCCATCTTGGAAATGCCCGTGACTGATATCATCCACCAAGCTCTAATAGTGTTAAAAGAATTTACATTAAAATGAATCATTAAATAACATAAAGACCTCCCTAAGGAAATAACTTTTCGATCGTTAAGCCTTTATTATATGATTCAGCGTTGTCAAGAGATAAACTTTGAAAAATCAGTATGAATAGTAATTGATTTCCAGAATGTTCTAACGCTATGATTGTTATTGTATTTGGTAACTTTAGAAATTTCTTCACATTGTTGAATTGACATTTTTTTCGACTCCAATTCCTTTTTCATAACAATATCTAAGATTGAACATTGCCCATATCTGCATATTTTTGATAATAAGTGAATGGTATATATTTATCCATTTTAACTCCAATCCCGTTATCATAACAATGCCCAATATTATTTATCCCAGTGAAATTGTCTATATTAGCAGATTTTTGATAATAATCGAACGCTTTATGTCCATCCTTTCAACTCCAATTCCACTTTCATCAAGATCGAGCATTCTCCACATCCGCAGATTTTTGATAATAAGGGATCATCTAAAGCCCGTTTTTTTTTGGCTAATCGTGAATATTATTTATTCAATAAATGGGAAATAATCATAGAAAGTTACATGCTGAACGTCTTTCTAAAATATAATTATAACCGCAATATGTAAAACTCACTGTTACTTCTAGTGGATATTTCCCGTCATTCAAATTTTCCTGAAATTTTCGTGAGTCCAAATACATATCTTGAGGTGTTATTTCTATAAAAGTTTCTTGAGATGACATCCTTTCAAAAGTTCCTTGTGTTCTTATTTCTTTTTAAAGTAAGCGATAAAACGTTAGGTGGCTTTTCTCTGGCTCTTCATTAACAGATCCCTAATAACAGAATTAATCACCTACTGACAAAATTTTGAAATTATTTTTTCAACGCAACCACATGTACTTCAATTTAGTAAATCATGTATGTAATGCATACAATTTCAAATTTTTTTTTCGAAACCTTTTCAACGATTCTTGCGGAAAGAACTGTTCAATGTCATTTATGTATGAAGTTTTTGAATTTAATTTTTGTCGTAACGCGGTAAGAAATTCATATAAAGTGATGTAAGTGGGAATGGAATCATAATAGGATCTGAATCCACTTAGTTTAAACGGAATAATTATACTAAAGATCCAATTCTGTTCCCACTTACGACTGACGATAAGCATGTCGAATATTACCAAACTTTTGAATTGATTAATGGTCACGTTTTGACTAACATAACATAGTACACCAAATCGGTATCAGTTCGGTCGTCACTTTAAATATATATATAACATATATATAACATATATATAAAAATATTCAATTCTGTATTGTCGCTAATGAAACAGCCTGTACTAAGAAATGCTGTTAAGATGAATTGTAAACGAGAGGTGAGCTCTGTATTAATAGACTTTAACTATGTCCCTTAATGTGATATATCTTTAATACTTTCCAATGGTATCGTTTCCGGCAGTCATTTCTCTGACAGTAGTTTTTTCCGAAAGTTACACTGGTAATATAATTATTTGACAATTACTTTATAATTGTGAAAAACTCTAATGAGTTATGCTAAGTAGAAATCTAATTATTATAATATATAGTTTTTAGAATGAAAAGATTAATAATTTCAGAGAAGTAATTGTCGGGAAAACGATTATTGTTTGTCAGGAAACGGATGCCGGCGAAAAAGTTGGTGATAAAAAGATTATTATCAGGGAAATAATTGTCGGCAAACTATAATACTAGACGAGTGATACTATTGAGGAAGTGATATAGCTAGGGAAGAAATAGCTTTCCAAAAAAAAAAGGCCATTAAGGTAAACTTAATTTAGAATTATGTCGTGTTAGAAAGAATTTATGCCATTTTTATTGGTCAATTTTTTACAAAAAAAAAATTTCATTTCATTTACAGAGTCATGTAAATGAACAAAATAACTTTGTACGGTCTTATTAATAATTATCTAAAAAATTTTTATTGTTCATATTGCATCTGATTTTGTTAGATCTTTTTCAGTTGCTTAGTCAAAAATGAACGATCCATGCTTGCCATAGGTACGTTTATTGTTCCATCGGATAATGAATGAATGTCATCGATTCATCATCTAGAAACTCATCTCCGCTTTCCAAGCGACGAACAACCTTGCCAGGCATTGGCAAGTTTGATCCTATTATATAAACCATTTCCCTAAGAGTGTCCATCTCGAATCGGTCTTCACAATCTTCTATAATCTTAAAACCATTAATTATAATTAAAATATGGTTAATTTATTCGAATCCAGTTCGTAAGAATAAAAAATAAACATTACCAATTCCAATTCAGCAATACTTTGGGGTCTTAAATTAATGATCTGCAGTTTTTCTGATTTGGTGAGATTATATTTTTTAAGATGAGTTAAAGTTGTTTCCATTTGTTCAGGTGTTTGAGTTGATGCAGGGGATTGTGATGATGACAAATTTTGAATGACCTTGTTGACAATGAAAGGTTGTTATCGAAATAATTTACTCTAATCAAATCATTACATGATGACTCTTTAACAAACAATTCACAAGAAACCACACGATAAGCCTATTTAAACTCACTTCGAATTGTATTGTCTTTAAACTTTCAGCGAACTTGACGTTCGGATCGATTTTAGCTTGTTCTCGTTGCTTTTCGTCCATTTCTCTAAGAAGTACCAACACTTCATAATTTGAAAGCATCGCGTTACGTTTGTCGACGATCTTGAACAATTCAAATTTCAAATCAGAAAGGATTGATTTTAGTAAACATTTCTTTTTAATTAACCATATTAAAGTCAGGAACAATGATTTTCAGCAACCAAATTATTGCTTATTTCAAAATTTTAGCTCGACCGCGCTCGTCTTTTAGTTTCATTTACTTTCTACATTGGGACTTTTCAAGAATGTATAGTTTTGAGACTGTATACTTATAAATCTCTACTTTCCATAATATTTCCGTAATATGTCTGCGACAATTTCGTGCTGCAAATTCTGAGAATTCCTTGAATTTCAGAAAATCATCGTCCCTGCTTAAAGTGCTAATCAACCTACATGCATTATGATTTTGTAGTAACTAATTTCTTTTACCATTGTATTTTTTGTATTTATACAGTATAAACTGTGTTGTACTACAATTACTGCAGATCATGAGATAAATCTACACGCGTTACTGTTACTGTGTTATGCAGTTATAGCTTTTTCAACGCGTTCACTTGCAATCATTTATTTAATGAAAAATGGAGTATGGTAGCAGCAGTGAAATGTGGTGTTTTCCTATATTAAAGGACGCCGAGATTGAAGAATTTTTTCACGAACTTTCGGTAGATTTTACTGCTCAAGATATGAAAAAACCTACTACAGCTCGCATATACATTGCTTACGGCTTCATAGTGGAGTACACTATCGGTGTATCAGCGGAAGACTGGGGTAACACTGATTGGTCTAGTCATTTAGAAATGCGTTTGCGTAAGAGAGTTCCAGGTTACGACAGACCGGTATGTTGAGCCACTTTAATTTATAAAGTTCAAATTTCGATCAATTAAAAATGATTTTTTTAAAAAAAATTTTTATAGGAGCTTTATTCTGAATCAATGAAAATGATGGCTATTTACAAACGAATGTAAATATTATATAGTTGATACCATTTTTACATTTAGTTCTTTAAATAATATTTATTTTTACTTAATAGGAAAAAAGTTATGACAGCCATAGGAATGGACCAATTTTCATTTTATGATGTTCTTAGACCAGAAGTAGCTCGACTTCGCATATTTCTTAGTGCTGCTATTAATTTTATAAGATTTCGTGAAGATCAATTGCACCTTTTCAACGAATATGAAAAACATTCAGTAAGACTTATAATCTATTTTTTTTAGTGACTTTTAAGTGTTAAATCTAATATTCACTTTAAATTTTATAAAGGAGGAGCTCATGAAACACAATGAAGAGTTGTCAGAACGATATAAAATGCTTTTCGAACAAGTTGAATTATCAAAGTCTGTTGAACTTTTTATTTTATTTTATTTTATTATTACACGTGAAATTTTATCTCTAAATTATTTAAACAAATAGGAGAAAACGCATCGAAGATGAAAATATAGTTAAAGAACTTGTGCAAGAAAATGCTCACCTTATGAGCAGCATGCGCGAATTGAAAAAGAAACAAACGGGCCTATTAAATGAGATAGCTTCTTTAAAAAGTACAAAGGCAGATTCTGAAGAAAAGATAGTAAGTATTATGTAGCATATTATATTTACAATTAAGTCAATGTTTTATCGCATTAAATTGAATTTTCATTCGTGTTTCACAGAATAATACACAATTTTTGGTGGTAACTGCAAAACAAGTTCTTGAGAAGCTTAAGAGTCGAATCGTAGTAAACCCTGAAAAGTTGAAACAGGTTGAAATTGGTGTTCATAATTCAAAAAAAAAAAAGTTAAATCCTAAATTGTGCAAATTATTTTCTTTCTAGACAATTGAAGAGATGAATCAGACCATGGCAAAAGAAAAGGACGCGATGCTTGGACTTGGTAAAAAGGTCCGTGAAATTCAAGCAAAAGTCGAAAATTTGACCATTGTGGAAGAGGTAATGATTTTTTTTGTATATCTTATGCCAAATATTCCCATAGAGAATAGTGTACTTAAAAAATAACTCAAATTTAGGAAATATCGGCTTGCAATAAAATATTAGATGAAGTAATAAATCAACGTAATAAGTGTGAAAAAGCGAATAAAGACTTTCGGGATTTTCAGGAAGAAATTGAAAATAAACGTCACAATTCACGTGAGTTACAGAAGAAGGAACAAGTAAGTAGAATTTTTAATTCATTTTCAATTCGATAAAATTATTCAGGAAATATGTAATCAATTTATTTATTACCCTGCTTTACTATGATATTACAAGTTGCTGTCTCGACAAAAGCAAAATTTGGAAGATAGACTTCAGCGCCAAAAGGAAAAGCATAAACAAAGAGTTATAGAAACTGAAAAGAAAATCGAAGCATTGCAAGCAGAGTATGACCGAATTCTAGAGGAACGCAAGGATTCTGAAAATAAAGCAGCACAGCAAAAGAAAATTTATGATGAAATGTCTGCAAAAGTAAGGATATTATTAAATATTGGCAATTGGTAACTTATGAAATAATTATAAACATTTTAACACCATATTTTTTTGTTTTAGTGCGCGGATTTATTTCAATCATGGAATAAAGAAAAGGCTGAAATTGAGTCCGAGTATAAGGCTCTTAAAGATAGAATAGAAGGATATCATCAAGAAATTTTATTGACCTGTAGTAGTGGTTGGACCCGTCTGAAAAATCATGACCCGGGTAGCCCGCAGGTCACCCGGGTGGATAAATGATAAAATAAAAATCAATTCTTATAAAATTCTATCTTTCTTCTATAATTATAATACGAAATTGATAAAATATTTGATGAATTGCACAAGAACTATACTAGAACTGATTCATAACATGCCAGTATAATATAATACATTTCTAACGCCTAGTTATACTGTAACAAAATTATCATCACATGAATATCATTATTTGAAAAAATTTTAATCTAAAACTCAATTATAATCTATGGATACTATTTAAAAAAAATTGATATGTTGATGCTCGATTAGCAGCAGGGAGCACCCAAATGTATTTCCGTAGTAAATCAAGCTGCTCGATACGTAAGTATCGAAGCAGCTTTTGTCTCGAATCATCACGAGACCAACATGTGATATCTCCGAATATGTTAGCATATGTTCGGTCT